ATATATATATATATATATATATATATATACGCACACACACACACACATACATACATACATACATACATACAAACAATGATTATATTAATAGTTCCACTAATAATAATTCAAATAATTTCAGCTGATCCAAATGTTCCAATTGAGAAGCTACGATTCACCATTCGAGGAGATGCTCGTGTTGCCAATCAGATGGTGCATTTGTTTAAAAATGAAGAAAAGGATCTAGCGATTAATAAATTGACAACGGTATTTACTTTTTTGGGGAGGGTAAATAGCAATCATCCAAGTTCTCCTCCCAACATCATACATGGCCTATACACAAATATTTGATGTTCTGCTGGTGTTGTTTTAAACATTATGTGTTACACCAATATCTTGAAGTAACGTAGAAAACTACATAAATAACTAGTTATATACTGTTGGGATGATATGTTTTTCCTTTATAGATATCAAGTTATTCTGACTTGATAATACTGTATGGATTGTTAGGGCTTTACTGTACAAGTAACTGCATTGGTTAACTGTATTCTTTCCTCTAATTTCTTCAGAAAGAAATCCATCAAATGCTTTGCTCTGCAGAGTAATAAACAAAATTTATATGGTCCTGAGACAGATTTGTTTAAACACATATACATGAGGATGCAGAAAAATCATGGCCTTATTCCACAAAGACAGATTTGATCCCCTAGGAAGAGAGAGGCTATTAGGTTCAAATGATTAATGATTAACAATAATAATTAAGCCCTAAATTAATATACTCCCAAATTTCATATTGCCAACTCCAAAATTCACTCCCATTGTGAACCATGCACTTAGTCCAATAAATTATAGTGTAGACAAGTTGCAAACTAATGTGAACAGCATAGTTAGGACTATGAATATGGTTGAGTGCCATTAAATGAAAGAGCAATGCTTACAGTTCATGGAATGTGACCTATAAGTTTCCACGAGAGCAACCTTCTGCAAGAGGTCCATTTGCACAGACAAGTTCAAATCTGGAAGAAGTGAATGTACATATATGAGGCAATCTGCCACAGTCTCACTGGCAGATTAGTATTAACTTGAGTATTAACTACTCAAGTCAGAAATATATGATTGGAGATCTTAGCATGACCATTTAACATTAAGCCAAATGCAATTATATTATCTTCTACTCAACACATCAGTGTCTTCAGAAGAATCTTGCTCTTTAGGAAAGTTAACTATGGGACCTGAATGTGCGCCCTCACTTCTTTAATATGCATTCCAACTGTGCAGAAAAATCTGTGTTTTTTTAACATTTATGGTATTGCTCTTGCAACATTAATTCCACGTATCAATTTGCTTAAGACTTCAGATTACATGAGATGACAGATATTCTTCTCTCTGGGTATATCCTGTGCTAGATCTATTCAGGTGACACTGATGAGAGCACTGGAAGTTCATCAAGCAGTGAGAGTGGTATGAAGAGAATTATAGGTCTAAAACAAGTTCCTACCAGCCAGCAGCAAGATAATGATCAAGAACAACTGGAACAGGATCACAGGAGACCTCAGTTCCAACAGCATCATGATACTAGCAGCAGCAGCAGCAGCAGCAGCAGCAGTGATAGCAGTGACAGCATCCAAAATGATACACATATTTATAGAAGACAACAAGAGGGCAAGGGTTATCTAAGTGGTGAAAAAGATGAGGATAAAAAGAAGCACACCAAGAGGCTAGCTGCCGAGGATGATAAGAAGGTACCCATCAATTCTAACTTAGGAGAAATCTTTTCCTGCAGGGAGCATTAGCTCAAAATCTCTTTTGGCTGGGATGTGGCTTATCTCTTTTGTTAGTTATGTGCATCTAAGGGCGCAGTGGCTCACATGGTTAGGATGCTGGGTTGATAATCAACAAGCCCGTGTTCAAGACCCATGAGCTGCTGTGAGACAGGGGGAGCTGCTGTCATTCTCTCCATTTCCTGATGACCTAGCAGTTTGAAAGCGAGTAATGACATGTAGATAAACCACTTCAATGGGTGCATGAAAGGATCCCCCAACTGGTGTCCCTGGGCAATAGTGATGTCACCCACTAATCCTTTCAACCCAGAAGGACTTCAGTGCTTCCAACATGAATGCATGCATGCAGCCATGTGCATTTGGGCAACCTTTGCTTTGCTTTTTCTTCTTTGACATTTTGCAGGAACTGCAAGACCAAGACCTGGCAAAGCTTCACTTCAGGGAAAGCCAGTTCGAACAAGTGAGTTTCAATATTATTATGATTTTCAACTGACCTTTCTTTATATTAACGTGGATAGATTCCAATGCTTGATACTTCCACCCTCCTTTGGAGAAAAGAAATCCAAATAAGACATGATTGTGGAATGTGAAAGTTGATATGAAAATGATTTAACTCAAGCTGATCTGTCAGCTAGAGAATGAAGACAATATTTCCCAGTTCACACTCATAAATTAACCAGCAGAGACTGTTTTTTATGACTTACCAGCAAGGTATTTCATATAACTGCTATAATATTTAAGCAAGCATATAAGTTGTCTAAATAAATAAATAAGCCAGTCAATCAAACTGCAAGGCTGGGCAGAGCTCTGAAGTGGCTGCAGAGGAGCTTCCAGAGAAGTGCTGCTTGGAAGCAAAGAGAGACCTGTTTCTAAATGCTGGAATGAGTTATGACCTCCCTTCAATCCAATCCATAAAAAAAAAAAACCACTACCAAATCTAACTGAAATGGTGATTGAGTGGTCAGGCGCCATCTCATTGTAGTTTCAGCCAATGAATACACCAGCCAGGCTTCCTTGTGTAAGTTGGCCTGTAGTGAATATTTGCATTTGCATTTGGCCAGTAGTGAATATTTGCATAGATTTTAATTTCTACTCCAAAAATACAACTGCTTTATCCTACTTCGTGTATTACACCAAGTCTTCCACTTTAGGGTCTCTGTAGGTTTCTCACCTGATTTGTGTGAGACAAGCGGTACCGCGTATCCTGGCTGATACAATCAGTCCACAGAATAGTAATACTTCAAACTATGCATAGTAATAGCAATGGCACTTATATACTGCTTCAGAGTATTTACAGCCTTCTCTAAGCAGTTTTACAGAGTCAGCATATTGCCCCCAACAATCTGGGTCCTCATTTTATCAACCTGGGAAGGATGGAAGGCTGAGTCAATCTTCAGCCACTCAAAATTGAATTCCTCTAGTGAGCAGTGAGTTAGACCTGCAATACTACATTCTAACCACTGTGCCACCACGCATGCATGCTCCTCTGAGGTAAATAAAATCAGTCTAGTATAGCTTCATAGGACTTTCAGAATTGTATCTTAAAATATCCCAAGCTTTTGAAAGTACAGTTCTTTCTTTTAGCTTCTTGAGGGACCTTCCAAAAAGTACAAGACTGGTGTTAAGTATGGAGAATAACGGAGACCAGACATCTGACCAGTGACTTCAACTCTTTAATAAAGTGATAGAACATAACAGAGCAATACTATGGGCAGCAGTAACCCTTTTATAGGGTTAGCTGCTGCCTTATTAACCAATGAAAATGTGCAACAAGTTCAAACTACTGACCAATAAGGACAGTCCCAAAAGTGGCCAATCAGGGACTGGTTCTGGCCCAATCCCAAGTTGTTGTATAAGGACCAATCAAGTGTGCAGGTTTCAACCCCTAATTTGCATTTAGGTTATTCACTTTTATTGATTCACAACAACTGGAATCTGGGAATTCAATCCCTAAGATTAAGCCTATACTATTTTAGATGGTACTTTGGAAAAGACAAACTAATTGTTACATCAACACAATATCTGCTATTGCATGTAGATATGACTGCTTTAACTTTTTGTTGCTATCCCCTCCCCCAAAACATACAAATGTAGACTGCTGCTGTTTGCATAGATATTACAACCTTCTAACATAATTGAAAACGGTTTTCAACAATTACTGCTTAGGACATTGAAACAGAAAAATATTTGCTCTTGTGTTTTGATAGACCTTCATCACTCCCTTTCATTCTTATACCTTTGTCCTCTGCCACTCAGTACCTCTAATTCTGTTTAAATGTTGTATTACATGGTGCAGTCAAGCAGTCCATTGTCTGATGGAAGGAGCAGAAATGAGTCCAGCTGGAGGGAAGAGGTATGTTTTTAAAGAATTAATAGGAAAGTAAGTAAGTTGGTATGCTTCTAAAAAGAATCGTTGTTTGGAATCCGTTTATCAAATGGTATATGTATTTTCAGAAAAAGGATAAGGAATAAAGTACCAGTTGAATAAGGATTATTAGGCCATTATGCTGATAACTCATTAGGTTAGAGAGATTAATTAAGACTGGCTGACCAAAGTTAAGATGTTCTCTCTGGCATGAAACTCCCTAATAAACTGGCTATTACTTTGGAAGGAAAGGCAACATAGCAACAATTATGATTGTTGGTTCCTTTTTACAAGTTTCTGATTTTTTTTTAATGAAATGGATTGAACTGAATTGAATCAGTATTTCAGCCTCTTGTTCATCCAATGTTTTTTAAAATATTGGCTCAAATAGCCAACCTACATCTTGCTTCAGGCTTTCTTCTGGTAGAGGGCTGCACAAAACCAATTTTGGTTTAGGAAAGTACTTTAACACTTCAACACTTTCTCTAGGTGCGGGGTCCACTTTTCAGATAGACTGAATGTTGATCTACTGGCTACCACAGGAATTTGCCAACTGGATTGTCATCCACACCTAATTTTGTGGTCTAAGAGAAAATAACTGCCCAAAGTCACCCAGTCATCTTTTGTGCCTAAAATAGGGCTAGAACTCACACTCTCCTGGTTTCTAGCCTGGGATAGATAGATGACTGAGAGAAAGATGATAGACAAAGAAATGATAGATTGAGAGATAGATGATAAACAAATAGATGATAGATAGATGATTGAGAGATAGGAGAGAGAGAAAGAGACAGACACACACACAGAGAGAAAGAGAATAGATAGGCACATATAAACTACTAAAACTCTAATCCCTGTTTGTTTTGTAATCTCCAATTAGACAAAAGTGGAAAGTATAGGGCAACAACTATGGAACCAAGATAACTCAAATAAACTAACTTACACCATGCTGGGATGCATGCCATGAGAATAAAATTTGGGGGAATTGTGGCCTCTTCAGCACCACCCCACCTTCCAGGTATATGTCCCAAAAACATGCAGATTGCATGGTGCAAGAAAAGATGGGAGGGACACATCTCCATCCTCTTTCCTTTCTCCTTTGGCCCCTTCACCCAATCAGCAGGCAGCAAGGCCTGATCAACAAATAGCCATTGCCTGCTTGGGAACCAAGGCTGAAATTTTAAAGCTCTTAATGGCAGTGGCCAGTGAGGGACAAATGAGGGAGTGACTCACATACCTGCTGGTGAGATTGGGCTGGCTGTTGTTAAATTCCTCCCTCACATTCCACAGATTATTTAGTCCCCCCCCCCCCCTCAGCAATGGGTCACAGGTGTGTGTGTGTATGTAAAATCATCCCTGAAAAAGAATATATAATACAGAGAAGCATACACAAACACACTCACATGTGCATATGTACATATATACATACCTACATATCCAGACATGTCCAGATCCATCCAATTGTAGGAACAAACATAGCTTGAAAGTTTTGCTTATGTATATACAAATAATAGCTATTTAATTTTTAGCTCAGTTTAAAATATTTCTCTTTTGCTTTCTGTTTGCTTTTTTAAAATGTTTTGACTAGATGATTTGGTTCCATTGCAGAAGCCAATGTATTCCAAAACTTTCTGTGTTAGGTTACAGTGTCAAGATATAAATCGAAAATTAGCCAGGGGAAACTGTAAATGTGCAGAGTTCTTAAAAAAACATAATTGAATTAAGATACCAATGAGTGAAATTATATAGGTGGATGAAGATATTAGTAACCATTTATCCAAGCTCCTACTCCGGTATCATCTCTTGATTGGAATATCACATGAACTGTTATAGAAGCCCTTTTTAATAAAAACTAAAGAAGGCTCAAAATCCCTCTTCCTCTTTTGCTGTTTACACAATTCACCAAAGAAATAATTTTGGAAACTTACCTAATCGAAACATGGATTAAAATCACATCTTTTTGTTTGTCTCCTTAGGCAAAAACTCCTGTTTTCCTGCCATATCTCACTGCTGTGCTTGAAGCAGTTAGGAGAGACAGCAAAGAACAGGGCTACAGGTTTTCCTTGTATGAAAAGTGTGACCGCTACAAAACCCATTTCCAAGCAGTTGCAGGTGAACTCAACCAAACTAAATGGAGAGCATGCTTTGATAGCCTTATGCTACCTTCCAAATTCCAGGTATTTTTTTTTTAATTTCCAATGTGAAAGTTGCTTTGTAATGAAATTGCATTGCCTTATACAACAACATATTTTATAGAAACCCTTCTCACCTCTGTGATCTATGTCTTCCTCAACCTCAGGCCTTTACAGCAGCCTGGGAATTTCAGAGTTTTGCATAATATCTTAGCTGGTCAGTCAAACTGTACATCTAGAAGAATGAGCTCCAATTTTCAATGTTCAGCGGTAAATGGGTGCCTATTAGAATACTGAAGAATTTGAATTGTTCCATTATTAATCCCAAAGGTGCTTTTTCAAGAAGCAACTGGACTTTCTGGTTTTTCTTTGAAGACATTTCACTTCTCAAGTGAGAAATTAACATCTTCAAAGAAAAACCCAGAAAGTCCAGTTGCCTCTTGAAAAAGCACCTTTGGAACAACCATGACCTGGATCACTGAGAATCTCCATTATTAATCATAAGTCTTTCTAGTGATTATTTTACTATTTCTCTTTTGCCTTTTTTTAACCTAAATGATTAGGTTCCATTACAGAAACCAATGTATTCCAAAACTTTGGGCTACATTTGTAGCCTAAAGTTAATGCAGATTTTTATATTAAATCAAAGTCATTTTTAAATCAATGGTATTTTCAAATAGGATTCTCAAGGGCTCTTGAAAGGAGTCCAGTCCCTGATTAATATTCTAGAGCAGTGATGGTGAACCTTTTTGGGACCAAGTGCCCAAACCAGAACACGCATGCATGCATGTGCATGTGTGCATGTCAGAGTGCCAGAAACCTGAAGACCAGGTGGCTGGTGCATGCATGCCTGTTTGGGGGGCATTTTGGGGGCCGTTTTCAGGCTTTTGGGGCCATTTTCAGGTCATTTTTCAGGCTGTTTTCAGGCCATTTTTGGGCCATTTTCAGGTCATTTTTCAGGCTGTTTTCAGGCCATTTTTTTGGCCAGTTTCGGGCCATTTTTTGGTCCATTTTGGGTGCTCTGATGACCATGAAAACCAGCTGGCCAGAAACCAGAAGAGCAACTGGTAATGGTGCATGTGCCCACAGAGAAGGCTGTGCGTGCCAACTCTGGCACGTATGCCATAGGTTCACCATCACGGTTCTAGAGTAACAAAAGGGGGGGGAGCAGGGGGGGAATGGTAATCAAATCTTTAGCAGGAGGAAATTTTAGAATCAAAGTGCAAAAACTGCCAATATTCTTTTGATTTAATCATTCACCATACCCCTATCCATTTTGGTAGCGCTCAGAGGGCTTGAATTATGATGGAGCAGAAAATATTTGTCCAAATCCTTTGGAACAGTTTGGCATGGATAACAGCCTTAGGTGACCCAAAATCATGACACCAAGTCCATTAATGAAGGGATGCAACCCCATAATGATCCCTATATGCCGTTTTTCTTTTAATTCCTATCACATTTGTGTGTTTACTTCCTCTTCTAGTATTCTTTGGGCTGGGGAGATGAATGCAAGGATTACAAAGTAGAACTCAAGATGTCCACGGGCAATGTTGCAATTTATAAAGCTATCCAACTGAAAATGAAATGGACCGGGCTTCCTTCCCTCCGATCCAGACATTCTTTCAAGTAAGATCTCTGTAACGTCTCATTCTTCCAATTGGAGGTTTTTAAAGTGTTTCTTTCAATAGATGTGAGCCAAATTTCCTAGCAGGAAATACAGGACGTCCTCGCCTTACAACCACAACAGAGCCCAAAATTTCTACTGTTCAGTGAATTTTGCCCCATTTTACAACCTGTCTTGCCACAGCTGCTAAGTTAGTAACATCGTTGTTTAGTGAACCTGGCTTCCCCATTGATTTTGCTTGTCAGAAGGTCACAAAAAGATGATCATATGACCCTGGGACACAGCAACCATCATAAATATGAGTCAGTTCTAAGTGTCTGAATTTTGATCATGTGACCATGGAGATGCTACAACAATCATAACTGTGAAAAATGATTCTAAGTCACTTTTTCCAGTGCTTTTGAAACTTCAAACAATGAACTGTTGTAAGCCGACGAGTGCCTTTATGGGAAGAAATGTGGTTGAAATGTGGGAAGGATTTCATGGTTAGAGGTGGAGAAAAAATGCCTACACAATCTCTATCCTTTATCTCCATAATACACACACATGCACACAGACATACACACATAAACGCAAATAAACCCAAGCAGCAATTTCAGGCCATTTGGGGTGATGGAAAGGGAATTAAGGCTTCCTAACCCCACCCTTAATTTTGGGAGGGAGAGAACATTGCTGAATTATTGGGGGGAGGGAGATTCCGAGGGTGGGAAGATTGTTGCCTTTCTCTGAAATAATTCACATCTATAACTTGCTTTTTCCCTAGGTGGTATTTACTTCTTGGAATTGCATATCAGTTAGGCTTTTCCACAACTTATCAGAGGAATCCTGCACGTGAGATTATAGTCAGAATTATTGAAAAATCTCCAGAAGCTCATGTTGCCATCATTAAAATTCCTGATGTAGGTGATCATTTTCCATTTTCTCAAATTACTAATATAGTTCCACTTTTGGATTTGGATAATTAATGGAATGGTATAGTAAAATGGATATCAGCCAGAGGCTGATATTTCAAAGGACATGATACTGAGATCATTTAAAGTTCAGGATGTAGATGGTATCAGTTCCTGTCCTTAATTATTTTGTGTGTATGCTTTTCTAGACGAAGAGACCTAAATATAGGCCATTTCCCCATTCATTTTAACCTGTGAAGAAGATTTTCTCTGCTGTTGGTCACCTATCTGAGCAGGTTTATCCATTAAACATTTTTTAATTATTCTTGGAAATCCTAATACTATTACTTGACTTGGAAAGATTTTTATGAAGTGATAAAACTGGATCAGAGAAATAAATACCTGAGTCTTCACAGTTTGAGGTAGACTTTCTAAAAAAAGTAGGCATCCTTATTACCACTGAGAATATTTACGCTATGAAAAATGTGTTATAAAGTGGATCACTGCTTACAGTCACTCAGCTTACACATATGAAACCCTACCTCCTTTGCTTCCTACCTAGTGCAACAACTGGATAGATGAGGCTGAGGTTTTTTGGTACATAACCCAAGTCAGCAAGGGAGAAAGCCTGATAAGAAACACACACTCTTTCAATGGAGACATCTCAATGGAAAGACCAAATTTTCTCTCAGGTGTTGTAGCAAAAAAGTACAAGAAGAACTCAGAACAATACTGAGTTACAGATGTATTGTGGACATGCACAGACAACATAGTCCTTGACTAATGACTATTCATTTAGCAATTGAATCCATGATGGCCCTGAAAAAAATGTGATGACCAGTCCTTTCCACTTACAACCACTGCAGTGTCTCTGCAGTCAAATAATTGGGAAACAGGTGCTTGGTAATTCTTACGCATTCATGATGGTCACAGATCAATTCTCCATAATCTGCTTTTTAAATCTGCATATTAGGGACTGTTTTATGCATGCATTCTTAAGCCCTTTACAATCCATACAAAATTATTGTGACCAAATCGAGCTGGGTGAATGGAAGAAAATGTGTTTCCCTTTCTTTTCTTTTGTTTCAATCCATTGTTTATGGTTCAATAAATAAAATAATGGTTTTAGGTGATAAACATTTCTCTTAGTGAAATGTTAAATCAAAATGCATTTGTAGCAGCATTTATCTTTGTGTCTTCATTATTTTCTTTCCAGGTAACCTTTTACAAGGAAGATTTCTATCCTGAATTTTTTCCCACTGGCATCCCAACTCCGCATTATCAGAATCCAAAATTAAGCAAATTGAATGTAGCTTTATGGCTGTCCAAAGAAGTTGAAGGTAAATTAATGCTGCTTTTACACCAAGCCAGTACCTAATAGACTGACTAGTATTAGTCATGTTTATCTTTTTGTGGCAATTTTTGGGTTAGCATATAGTAGAGCCGAATCTAGGCTTATTGCTGTTTCAATTCATTCAGTTTTAGTGAGACTTAAGGTAATTATTATATTATTTAAGTCTGGTTGATTTCAATGTATCCACTTAAATCATAACAATGATTAAATATGATTTAATAATATAATAGTTATTATAACAATATAATCAGTAATGATCCAATCCATTGTTTTGTGTTTTGCTTCTTAACATCTAGTCCCATTCAAATCAATTAGGAATTCTTAAGTAAGCCTTATTCCTAGATAAATATATTAGCTAACTTCATTTGCAACATGGTTTGAAATTGTTATCTTACTTGTTTATGTAGCAGGATAACCTTATAGATATCTGTTGCCATGCTTAATGTAAATAATTATTTGGCAAATGTTGAGGGTTTGTTTAGGTTTTTCACTTTCTAATAGGTAGGACTGAAGTTTAACTCTGACCCTACTATTTATTTTCTTATCAGCTGTGTGTGAAGTACGGGATGAAAGGATTACAACCTTTGACAACAAGACATTCAACACGAGTATTGCCAACAGAGAATGTGACCTTCTGGTAGTTAAGGATTGCACCACATCTGGCAGTTATAAGTCACAATTCCAAATATGGATCCACAATCCCAAACCTGGTTTCCCAAAAGAAATTCACATATGCATTAATTTAGCGTAAGTTTAAACAAATGGAGAGTTATTTCAAGTTTCTTTCCAATAGCTTCTTTTTCAATATTCTTTTTTAAATGGCTTATTTTTTTCTTAGAAATTATTCTGTCATTCTTGATAAGAGGTTTCTTATAATTTGGCTTTTTATTTTTTTCAATTTTGTAAAATCATGCAGAGGGCCAGGTTTTACGAACAGTGAAGACCTTAGAATCCCGTTAAGTTTGAACATCTCAACTACAGGGATTTACAAGAATGAATTTCAACATGATCATTCAAAACTCAGGCCATTCATAGAAATCTTAGCAAGCCTTAAACCTGTGATGAGGAATCTCTGGGTCTTTGAGGGGGTCATGGTGAAGAGTAAAATGTATTTCCTATCATCTGGTAGTGATGCTATTTTGGTTTCTAATTAAAGCTGGAAAGCATGTGATCTCATACTCACTTACTTCACAAGTTTATAAGGTAATAACAGAATTACTTCTCAAAAAGTCAACGCAGCACAAAAGTGTTACTATTAATAACTAGCTGCCTTCTCTAAATATATATCCTAGAACCATGATGGAGAACCTATGGCACGCATGCCACATGTGGCACGCAGAGCCATTCATGCCAGCACGCGAACTGCAAGCAAACTTACCTCACTGCGCATGTGCGCCCCTCACAGCTGACTTTTGGCAGGTTTGAGACCTTTTTCGGCCTCCCAGGGGCATGAGGAAGACTTCTTCAGGCTTCTGCAGGCTTTGCAGGCCAAAAACTAGCCCCGTTTCATCACTTCCTGTTTTTCCGAAAATACCGGAAGTGATGAAATGGAGCTAGTTTTCGGTCTGTGAAGCCTGCAGAAGTCTTCCTCAAGCCTTTGGGAGGCCGAAAAAGGCCTCAAACCAGCCGAAAATCATCTGTGAAGCACAGTGCAGGTAAGGGGGGGGGGTGATTGTGTGCACATGCATAAGGGACATCGGGGGGGCGCACATTGCCTTCTGGGTGCTGGCATGCGAGCATGAGCGTACAAGCACATGCACAATTTTTGGCACAGGAGCCCAAAAAGGTTAGCCAACTGTCCTAGAACATCCAGCCTTGATAGAATTATAAGACAGCTTCCATCTGAGCAAGCTCATAGCCATAAATGTGGGTTACAAAGAAATACTTTTAATTAGTAAAAAATAATAAAGAAAAAGAGCTTTTAGAGTTCTTACACAGGTAGCTCAGGTGGTTGATAATCTATCTATAGCCTTTTCATAAATTCTGTTCCATTAAAATCTATGAAATTACTGTTGCCTATTGTGTCATTTACATATAAGTGCTTTTCAAACAATGTGAGGACATAACAAGATTACAATAAATGAATTATTTATAAATATATAATGAATTAATTAAAAAATTAAATCAGCAAAACAATAGAGAGATTGTAAAGTAGCATGAACAGAGGAAGAATCTTTATTTCTTTCAGTTTATGACATTTAGTTTTAGTTGAAGAGGACTGGTATAGGAGAAGTGTTCTAGATCAAGGGTCTCCAACCTTAGCAACTTTAAGACTTGTGGACTTCAATTTCCAGAATTCCTCAGCCAACAAAGCTGGCTGAGGAATTCTGGGAATTGAAGCCCACAAGTCTTAAAGTTGCTAAGGTTGGAGATCCCTGTTTAGATAATTTGAAGTAACTTAGTGTGAGTTCCAATGAAAGAGAATATTTGTGCACTGATGATGTCACCTGGTTTAGTCACATAATATCTGCAAGAAAACAACCAAGCTGTTGTGGTTAGCTGGCAGCAGGTGCGGATGGCTGAGGAGAGCGAGGACTCAGATGAGGGGCCAGGACCATTGGGGAGTAGACTGCTGCCTTCAGAGATTGTGGGGGCTGGCAGCAGCGATGACGAGGTTCCTGAGGATCCTGTGCCAAGTGCACATGCATGCAGGCTTGCTCACAGGAAAGAGCAGCTGTAGCAGCACAGGCGACTCGGGAGTAAGGCTGCAAGGTAATGGCCCCTCCTTCAAGAAGATAAAAGGCAGCTGTGAAGCGAACATTTTTGTAGGAAGCAAAGACATTTTGAAACTCCAGCCTTGTGGACATTGCAGTATCTTAGTTGGTATTTGAAAACTCTTGTGTTGTAAAATATTTCTAGGTAACTTTACCTGTTATTTTTGGCAAACTCGCAGTTTTGGCGAAGCTCATGCTTATCAAAGTTAATTAGTTTGCAGCAGCCTTTTAACTGGGGATTCGTAAGAATCATTAAAAGGTTTCTGTTCGCTTTGGTTCGTGTTTGTTTTATTGGACAAGGGTTTGAGTCAGAACAAAAGCTCAGAAAGCACCAGCCCCCCCCCCCTCCCCCCAGTGTTGGTTGTTGGTGACAATGAAACAGCCTTTTATTCCTCTAGCTAGATCATCAGTGGGAAATATTTTCAGGCCAATCTGAATTATATAAGAACATGGCATCTTTTCAATCCTAGGCAGCAACAGATGTTCCTCTATCAGGATGGTAGGAAAAAATATCTGCTGCAAATTCCACATAGGCATCAGGAAGGGCATCCAGCCAGTAAACACTCAACTCCATTCAGTTACCCCAACCCCATCCGATAAAAGGGATTACAAGGTCATAAAAAGAAGAAAAAATTGCATCTGCTTCCATGTTACCAGATCTACAAGTCCACTGCAACTTTAGTACTTTGAACCAACTTTAGTACTTTTATTCAAGCCATAGGGTGTATAGCAAAAGCATTTCTTCAGAGAAAGGCTGACTCTTTTCTGTTACTTATTATGCTTTTTCCCTTTGTTTAACTTTCTAGTAAAATGCATTTTTCTGGTTTTTTTCCCCAATGGCAGAGAAATCACAATCCAAGATTCCTTAGGGGAGCTGACTGTGTTACATAATAAATTACCAATACCAACAAATAGAGAAGGGTATAAATACAACAGAGGTACTGCATCTGATACCATATTTTATATCTTTAACAGAAATCAGTTCAAATACTCCATGTTGTCTGGCTCGGTTACTTTATTTTTTTCAATAATTATTTTTAAAAATAAACTTGAATTACTTAGTAATTTCTACATACCATAAGAATGTAGCACAATGGATTTGAAAAGAAGGGAACATTTATCAATAATGGGGCAACCTCTTTGGGTTCGCTGAATATCCCACTCATAAATTGGATGTGTATATTTGTACTTGGGGCAAATTGAAATCCCAGAATTTGAAAGATCTGATAGAAAATATGATTGCATGGGAAGAATCACATCCTGAAGCAAGGATCATTTCGAATTATGCAATGGCTATCTCCAGGGGTTTGTATGCATGTTTGAAAACTCTTGCAGTAAATAGCCAGCCTATTAAAGCTATGCTTTTTCTTCATAGAAAATGTTGAAATTTTGAGAACAACCAATAATGTTATTATCAAGGCTCCCGAATTTGGCTTGGAAAGCGTGGCATATGATGGTGAAGTACTGAGAGTAAGTCAGACTGCTGTTTTTGTGCAAGAATTCCTTGTTTTTACTTTTTAAAAAATGGTATTGGAAAAAAAATCAGTTGAGCTTCTATGGCAACATCTCATTTGTTTCATGTAGATAAAAACTTCTGCAAAAACACAAGGCAAAACCTGTGGACTTTGCGGAGACTACAATGGAGAAATGAAACATGAATACCTGATCCCATATCAAGCTGGCAGAGAGCAATACTGATTTTTAATTCCCGAACTTCAGCAGGATTCAGGTATGTATTTCAGGTTTGTGAAGTATGAACATTTTAGAGATAGAAATTTAATTATAAATGTTTGAAGCAGCATGTATTGGTTAAAATAAGTGTGCTTTCGATTTTAAAATGTCCACATAATACTGAATCGAAAGAAACTGTTCTATTTCTGCCTCCTGGTTTCATAAGAATACATACAAAAATCTAGTTAGAGAACTCAAGAAAGAACTGGCACATAATCTTTGTCATTCAATAGTTTCTTCCCCCAAACATGAAAATAAATTAAGATTGTGATGGTAGACATCCATAGTTAGAAATAGTGCGTCCTTCAGAAGTTCCTAATTAATTCTAACAGTTGTATCCCATCTACAAAATGCATACTATGATTGAATAACCTCTGACCATATGCCTCCATACCAGTTTACTAGTAATCACAACTTTTGGTCACAGGAAGAGGAAGAGAGGAATGAAATACCATGCCAGCATCTAGCTCATAAACACATTATTTTCTTAAGCAGATCATTCTGCACATCCTGGGGTTACTGAAGAGAAAAATTAGGGGTGCCATATTAGTTGTCTTCTAGTACCTGAGAGGCTACCACAGAAAGGTAGGGGTGAAGTTATTTTCCAAAGTCCTGGGGATGGGACAAGAAGCAATAGGTGGAAGCTTGTTAAAGAGAGATTCAACCTGGAACTAAGGAGAAACTTCATGACAGTGAGAACAATTAATCAATGGAAAAGTTTACCTCCTGGAGTTGTGGGTGCACCATTGTTAGAAGTTTCCAAGAAAGATGAGCAGGGGCCTGGGGGTTTGATTAGAAGACATCCAAGGTCCCTTATAGCCCTATGATTTTATTTTCTTCAAACCAAGATTTATCCCTTTTCTGACCAGGATATTTTTTTTCTGTCACATTCTAGTTCAAATCAGAAAAATCAACTATTTCCCTGAAATGCTCTGCTCCTTAATTTAGCAATTAGGAGCTTGAAATATTTGGATGAATTGTTTTACTTCATGGGATTTGGTATTTGTGGACAGACACCATTTGTATCTGGTTTTTTTTAAAAAACAGCCTTAAAATAATAATGTGATCGTTTGAAAATTGTATTTATGGATAAAATCATAAAAATGAAATGCCTAGCTTTTTGTGATCCCACAGCAGTTCAAACATTGTTTTGATGTTCATTCCTAACTCAAATGGAGAATGATACTTTATTATATAATCAAAAGACCTACAAAATTTTCTTCCAATGTATTTGCTTTGAATTCTATTACTTATCAATATTGATGGTGTTTTTGTGGCAGAAACTTCAATGGACTCGATTTAATCCAAGAAGACCCAAGATGACGCAAGAAGACCCAAAAGATCTTGTCGGCGAGATCTGACTGAAGATAGGAAAGACCTTTCCCAGATAACCTCTTTCAGACAAATACTTTGACCATAGATGAACTAAATAATTTGAGGGATGTGGAAGCCCTATGTAATGTGAATATTTTATGCTAATTGAAAATAAATTAAAAATATCAAATGTGCTAATCATTAGATGAAGGTCTCAATAAATGCACATCATATTAAATAAATTTGCATGGCCTTTCTTATTCTTTCTTATCCCCAGAAAACGTACAAGTCAAAATAAAGTAATACTACCATTATTTATTAGTGAGAAGCCAGTTCAATTATTAAAACAAATTGTCAAAACTTTAAGTTTTGAAGTAGGTTAACATTTGAAGTACTACATACATACATCATAGCAGAAGTCCATAATGTGTTGAAGAGTTCTATGAAGAAATCATGTATCATGCCAAGCCTATACCAGATGAAAGCAAACACCTCAACAATGCAAATTATTAGTCATGTTCCCATCAGCCTTTTTTATGGGGGAGAGCGACTTATGGAGACTTAGCCTTACAGAATGAGGAATGGAGAATGGAGACTAAGCCTTACAAAATGGCTGTTTAGGGGCTGATTGGGGCAAAGAGTACCATGCCTTAATATCAGTGCTGCCACATTTAAAACTGGATTAATCTAGATTGTCTTCCAATGGCCAGTTGTGATCATATAGCCAATGAACCTATTTCATAACTATTTATGAAATAATTCCATTGTATTTAACCACATATAAGCATATAGATACAAAATCTGTAGCATCCAACTTACCTTGTTCAGAAGCTAAGCAGATCAGGCCACAACAGTGTATTGATAGGTAACCTTCAAACAATACCAGTCTATAATCTAGGAATGTAAGGAATTTTTTTTCAACAAATACAGCACTAAACTACTCCATGTTGCCAGGAAGTCACTAGGAGGCGAGTTTGACTTGAAGAAGATTTTTTCCATAAGCAAATGTGGGACTGCAACCTCAGAGAGGGTTTTAATGAACTGAGAATGCAGATCAAGAAGGAAATGCTGCAGAAATATTCTTCCTCCAATTTTGTGTAATAATTATACTGAGAACATGATGATATATGCAACCCAGTTGCTTGCCATAAGTTTGATAATTGGAGTAAAAGTTTGGTGCAAGCTGGTAGAAGTTGGCCAAAATAAGTCAGGAAACTGAAATAAGTTGGAATCAGAGGAATAAGAACCTTGAAAGAAAAAGTAATTAGGAGGCGATTAAGAGGGAGATAAAATGACTGCAGCTAAATGGCTTGGGGCCAGTGAAAGAAATTAGAAGTAGGGACTTGTGGAAATAATATATGTGGTTTCAAGGAGCAGGGAGCCAGAAACAACACTTGGGAGAGTTAGAAAATGTATTAAAAATTGTGGTGCTGGGGTGAGAGAGAGCCATAACAGGGAGAAAGAGAAGAAAAAGAGTAAGTTTAGCCTAGAACAAGACTAGGAAAAAGAAGAAAAGGGTTAGCCTAGAGAGAGGTGGATTGAGAAATAAGGAAATAAGAGATGAAGTTTTAAAGAAATAAAGGCTACTTATGCTAAGCCAAGAGGTAAAAGGCAGAAAGCAAGGAAGCTTTACTCATTTGACCAACCAGATGCAGTGGTGGGATTCAGATTTTTTTTTACTACCGGTTCTGTGGGCATGGCTTGGTAGGTGTGCCAGGGGAAGGATGCTGTAAAATCTCCAATCTGAGGTGGTATTTGCTGATTCTCTGAACTACTCAAAATTTCTGCTACCGGTTCTCCAGAACTGGTCAGAACCTGCTGAATACCACCTCTGAACCAGAGGTCCCACTTCCTGAAGCCATAAGGAAGAAAGAGAAATTGGGGAGACTAGGTTTATAGAGCTTTGCCCACCACACCACCCCACACCCCAAAAAAACAGGAGAGAAATCCTGGCAATTTCACATGTGAGGAAGTTGCCCAGTGAATCAGCAAGAAAGGAACCAGGTTTGAAGAGCCAGGAAGAGAAGCAGATTGGATCAGCCCAGAAGAAAGATATAAGGTAGAATAGAGTTTAAAAAATGGCTTCATGAGACTTTTGCTAATGCACTTGCAAAGAAAGAAGAAGAGAACTTGTGTTTTCTCTGTCCAGTAGTGTCTGACTCTAGGGAGTGGTGTTGATCTCTATTTCCTAGCTGAGGGAGCCAGCGTTATCTGAAGATGCTTCTATAGTCATGTGGCCGGCATGACTAAACACTGAGGCGCCCAGAACAATGTTACCTTTCCATCAAAGTTGTACCTATTTATCTACTCACATTTGCATGCTTTCAAACTACTAGGTTGAAAGTTGTACCTATTTATCTACTCACATTTGCATGCTTTCAAACTACTAGGTTGGCAGGAACTGGGGTAAGAACAGTCTATCACTCCATCATGCAGTATTTGGGTCTCAAGCTGGATCTTAACTGCTAGGCCACCGCATGCCCTTATGGTTATGGTTAGATATGTACTGTACATTTAAAACGGGCAGTAAATACAGACTGCTAGGTTTTCAATAAATCATCTTTACCAGAAAATGAGGATTCATCCCAATGCATTCAAGAGCTCAGCGCTGTTAAATTTATCCTTGTACCTGTGTGATACTGCTCATCTATCTCTCTTGCATTTCTCTAATGCAAGTAGTAAAGCTATTTTATTTGTTCACAGTTAAAGGTTTTATTTTCTTTTAATTGAATTTGCAAAAGAAGAGAGAAGAATTACTTCTTAGAGTCCTGTGGCTCATTGGATACTCGATACCAGGCTTTGATTAAAGTGAACAGCAGAGATACCAGAAATATCCCTATTTCAATATTTCTGGAGCACCAGCTTCTCAAACACAGCTTCTTGTTAAAATTGCAAATGCGTATGTCATTTGATCATTGTAACATCTTCCAGGCCTTGCTATTCTCCTCAGAGGAATCCAGTCATAGAAAGGATAGATCTAATTAAACCAGGTATATTTTTAGGCAATTTTCAGACTGCCTGGAGTTATACCATGGTAACACACGTTGACCCCAGCTATAACTGCAAAAATATACTGAGCATCTTCAGTTTCAACCTGAAAAGTTCAGTTCCTCCTGGAACACAGATCTTTTAATGAAAGTGTGTATCTTCTCCCTTACCCAAGGCTCCTGTTCAATTGATGACATGCCCTGTTTCACATCAGCTGAAGGTCTCTAATTCTTTTTTCCTGCTTTTTTTCTTTTACCCAGTGCTGTAACTTTCAAAGCATTCTTTCTCTGTAATATAGAAATAGGCCACAAGTTTCTTCATCTCCCACCAAACAGCATAACAAAAGGCAAGTGAAATGTGATCATGAGGTAGAAAAATATTCTCTGTTTGACTTTATTTTTCCCCAGTTACCATAAAAAAGAGAGAGAAAACAAGTCAATTCTTTTTTTTCCCCAACATCAAGAGGAACCTGTATTCAGCTATATAGTGCATTCAAAGACTAAACCGGTACATTTGAATTGAATGTAATCTGGTACTCTCAGCTGCAGCCCACTAGTTCCAGAAGAAAACTGACATCCAACATGTTGAAAAGAAATAAGAAGGATAGAGCAGTTGCTTGCTTTTTATCTTTAATAGTACAGAGAATAGCTACGATTCATTCCAAGTCAAGCAAAGTTTTGCTCTCAAAGTGGCTTCAAATATAATAAGACTCCCTTCAGGGAAGAAGGGGAAAGAGTAAGACAATTCACTTTCTTTTATTTAATTAATGACAGAGATTAGGGATGTTGTATACTGTATTACTTCCATTTTTAAAGAGAATCTCCTTCCTTCCTTCCTTCCTTCCTTCCTCTTTCTCCTCCCTCCCCATCTTTCTCTTAGCTATTAAAGACACAATTTGTATTCATTTACAGTCCAGTCATAAGAGCCTCTATTCAGAGACAGAAAACATCCTACCAAGGCTACTGGCTAGGAAAGCAGACATTGTAAAATCTACACCTTGATCTACACAAGGAACAAAAGACACACACCCATAGAATATAGAAAGCATATCTTTCCCCAAAGTTATAATTTACACTGGATAGTTGGAATCAATACATTGAAATTCATTTTTTTCTTAATATACTATACAAATATATCTTGAATCACATGGCTAACATTCAAACTTTAAATTTCTTTCAGCTCTCTCAGCCCAACTCACCTCACAGGGTTCTTGTTGTGGGGAAAATAAGGAGAGGAAGGAGAACTATATATGTTCTCCACCTTGAGTTACTTATAAAGTAATAAAGTTGGGATAAAAAAAGTCTAAAAATAAATTTAAAAAATCGTGTGTGTGTGTGTGTGTGTGTGTGTGTGTGTGTGTGTGTGTGTGTGTGTGTGTAATACCACTAATGCATCATCACGAAATCTCCAGAACCATAAAGCCTACAAATTTGAAATTTGGCATGCATGTTCCTCTTGGCTTCTAGGTGCTCACTAAGAAAGGTTTTTTTGAAACGACTATCAGATCATTAGTATTTCTTATATTATTATTAACACGCTGTGATGCTAAGGAGTTAGACGTTCTAATCCCCCTCCCCACCTGAAAAGAACTCTGTTCCAACTGCCACTTGGCCGTGGGTGTGGACAGTGTGTGACTCATCTGGCCTGTGGGCTGGGAGTTTAGACATTCTACTCCCCCTCCCCACCTGAAAGGGAGAGGAGATAACATAGGAGAGGCCTCTATGGGGCAAGCCTGAGGGAGAGAAGGAGAGGCCGATCGTAACTCCTCATTAATGTTCAAGCTTTAACTATCAATTTATCAAGCCCGATCACATAGTTCCGTAGCAAAGCACAGGTATCCAATCGACTAGTAAATAATAAAGTAGTTAGAAAATATTGCTGATATATTATTAAAAATCAACTTTAAATTATAATAACAGTATATCTTATTACTTTTAGGTAATTTACCAATTTACATATTGATGGTTGATATGAACTACCTCATACTGGTTTTGGTGTTTTAATTGATGTGTGTGTGTGTATTTAAATATAAAATACACCATATTTTTATATTTACATATTTTCATATCATATTTTTTGTCATAAAGACATATGTCTTTGGATTATTTTCTTAAACTTTCCCTTTACATTTACTCTCACATTTGAATCTAATAACAGCTTATTGTGTTTTCTGATATCACTTTCTCTCAGCTAACATTAACACAACCAGATTCTTTTGCCTGCATTGCGATTATTGCAGACTCAGCACCCTACT